AGAGAGAGGAGAAGTGGGAGAGAGAACCCGACATTGAGAGAAGCAGGGGGGTGCAAAAGGCGGAGTCAATGCGTTTCCCAACAAATGCACACGGCTAATCTCATTCTGTGTGCTGGTGCCCCGGCGGCCTTCACACCTTGTGGGTGGTTGATCCCTCTGTCCATAGTCGCCCAACCTTCTCGCGAGGGAGGGGGTGTAGCGTTCGCTGTGCTTCTTTGCTTCTCTCCTCCCCCTTCCCGTGAAGGAAATGGCGGAATGTGGCGACGTCCGCGTACCGTGTAAATCCTTGCTCAGCCGGCCGCCGTCGAGCGGCTTGAGGGGGGAGGAGGCATTGGACGCAGAGGCTTCCTCACACCTTGCAACGCTGCGGATGACGCCGCAGGCGCAGCATGTGGCGTTGGGAGACGTCGCCGCCATCACTCTACGGCCGGAACGAGAGGGAGGCACATTCTCGGGAACGCGTGCCGGGACAGGCTCGGGGCGTGAAACTCAAGCAACGCCTTTAGCGAATCAACGGGGCAGCTCACATACGCGGCCACCGCCGCCGCCCGCTTCTTCATCTATCATTTCTTTGAAGCTGCAAGACTCTGGTGAGGTTGGACTTCGTGGAATCTCCACCGCAGGTCCGGCGTCATTGTCAGACGGCTTGCACAGTGGCTGGCGGAGGCAAACCAGTGAGGCGGCGTTGAATGGGGAGGAAGGGCCACTGTCCCCGCTAGAGAGATATCTCGCCTCAAGGCGGCACCCTGTGAGTGGGTTGCGGCCCACACAACCTCCACACCCCGTGGAGGTTGTGCCGTGTGAGACTCTGGATAAGCGGCCTGCTGAACTTGCCTCATCGAGGCTGTGCCGACACAACAAGTATTTCGCATTGATGCATAAAGGTATGGAAAAAGATGCGTGCGATGCGCCACGTGGTGTGTACGGCAACGAAGTTGACGGAAGCACTCTTGCAATATTGGCAGGCATAGGGAGTGTGGGTGCGCCGGGGGAAAATGCTCCCGCCCCGAGGGAGGAGCGCGTGGCTGTCGAGGCGGCGGATGAAAATGAGCCGATTTTTCCTCCGCTCACTTACCCAGACCCCTCGCATCCAGGCATTTTGCACCGCCTGTGCGACGCGCGGCAGATGACTTGCATTGCAGGCACGCACCCCAGCGGTGGCAATTCTGGCTGTAGCGAAGACGCCACTGTTGTTGTTGGCGGTGGCGCCGCTGCAGCTGCTGAAGAAAAAGAAGGAGGCTCTGGGAGGCGCGAGGCGTACTTGCTTAAAAAACTCCAGGAAAAGTCATGCGACCTCGAAAGGGCCAGAGCCGAGCTTCGTCGCTCGCAGGAGTCGGTGGAGCGTGAGACCGAGCAACGCATTCAACAGGAGGAGTTAATCTTGGGAAATTTCAGACATCTGACGTCGGCACAGCGAGCCCTCCTGGATTTTGACGCGTTACTGCGGCCTGCCGTCAGACTGGAGGATTTGGACCATTGTGGAAGGGAAAACCCAATAGACTCGTCGTTGCCAACGAAGCGAAGACTTTCCTTTACGTTTATCCATCAACTGCGTGAGCGCTCCGTCACTCCCGGTGATCGCATGGCCCAGCAGGACACCACAGTGTCCTCAGCAACCGGGGCGGAGCCTCTGCCCGCCCGTGAGCGTGCGCCCACCGCAAGATGCCCCGAAGAAAAAGTTGATTCACGTCCGCCGTCCCCCGGTTTGGAGCCCGCAGCTCCGTGCACGTTGAGGTTACCTTCAGCTGGAGAAGATACTCTGGAGGAGCCGACTGCCAGACCGCCGCCCTTGACTTCTGGCTCGCGTGGCGGGCACGTCGCCCATGCGCAGCCGCCTCCGACGGCCCCGTCCCCCACAAGGCCGCCTGCTAGTGGGGTGGCGGTTCCTCAAACTTCAGCCGGAGCGCCGCCGCCTCCGCCTCCGCCTCCGCCAAGGAAATTACCTCCTCCGCCTCCGTGACTGAAGCTGACACTTAATTGGGTACCGCTGTTAGGTGGGTTACTCCACGTCTATGGCCATGGAAGCGTCTTGGCAGATGTTTCATTTACTTTAACCGCCCCGCTCTCCCACATTAATTTTTTTTTCGTGTGTTCGAGTTTGCGTTCAATATGCATGTCCGTGCTTCACCGCTCGTTTTTTTTTTTGCCTCACTTGCGCCGCTGTGCCCTGGCAGGTTGTATGCGCATCTAAGGGGTGGGGGCAGTTGCTCTTGCTGTGGGGAAGGGGAAGGATTGGGCTCTGGTAGTGGCGGCCCGGCATGACCACATGGCTGTTCCGGGTTGTTTTTGACCGCGCCTGCGTTCCGCATTTCCCGACGTCGAGAGAGAGGGCACCGCCTGACAGCCCGCTTATCTGCCGTATCTTGTTTGATGGCAAGGAGGCCAACCTTGACGTGGCGCCCGCGCCTCACCACGCCGCAGCAAGCAAGCCGGTCGCTTTCAAATATCGTATCCGGGCCTCTACCTGGAAAGACCTTGCCGCAGCATTTAGTCAACGCCGTGCCTGTCTACAAGTGATGTGCCTTGACGCGGCGGAAGAAGAAGCTGCGCGGGACGCCGATTTAAATGAGGATTCGGTGGTGGGAATTGCCTCAATAGACCTGCTGTCTCTGGCACAGAATGTCACCGCTCAGTACGAGCTTCCACTAAGAGCCCCTGACGCGGGTTCCGACACCACGAAGCTGGGTCGATTATCTGTGTGTATTACGATGGAACAGCTGTGTGACTTCAGGATGCAGCTAAAAGAGATGCGTGCTTCTGGTCTCGAAACTGGTGCGTACAAGCTACGCTACTTTCTCTCCGCAAGTAGTGTATATGTATGTAGCAGTGAGTCGCGCTCCAAGTTGGGATCTGCCACGTGGACGAACGGAACACTCCAAGAGCTGCTGTTTCAAGGGACTTTGCGGGCGTTGGCGTCGCGGGACTTTACTATCTCGCTTCTGAAGTCTGGCGAAAACGGCAGAGGGCCACCTGTCGCAATATTTACAGTCTCTCTTTTGCAGGTGCAGGCGAACGCGTCGGAGACGGTGAGGGAGATTCCCTTTCTGCTTGAGGACCCCGAGTCTCCCGCGATCCTCTCTGGTGTCCTGCAGCTGAGCGAACTGCCTGTGTTTCAGCAGAATATTCGACTCCTGCCGACGGCTTGCCGGTCCTACACCTGCGACGAGGCGCGGAATAAGTGGAGGCGCCCCGACGCGGTTGCTGCGCTGGGGCAGTCGTACGAAGCGGCCACGCCAACCGCGCCACTGCAGCGGGCACCCGCGTCGGGGGAGGCAACGGCACGGGTCATCGACTTGCCGACTGCGCCGCCCCCCGCGCCTTTGGGTGCGGTGCCGGCCGCGGCGACGTTGGGGCAAGCGGTGGATGAGGCCCCCGCACGCCCTCCGTTGGGAGAGGGCGGCGGTAGTGCGAGAGCCGGTTTGGCTCACAGTGGCAGCTCTACCTCATGCAGCGACGTCTGCGGCTTGAGGTCTCCGCCTCGTGAGGAGGACTCGAGGAGCTACACGCAGCCTTTGAACGGTGCCGCCTTGGCTCATGAGTGGTCATTACCGCAAGAGCAAGGAGGACGGGACGGAGGCGCCACCGCATCTGCCTCGCCCCCGCCACGGTTCACAGCAACGGATATTACGGAGGCGAGTGAACTGTCCCTTCACTTTGCTGGCACCAAAGAGGACAAGCTGCTGCAGAAAGAACAAGAAGAAAAAGGGGAAAGGCATCACCTGACTGCATTCTATGGCACGCTGCAAAGGGAAACTCAGCAGCAGCAGCAGCAACATGATGAAGCTGGAAAAGAAGAGGAGGAAGGGGATTGCAAGCAACTCATGCATTCCGTGTACCATCTCCTCCAAGAATTGGATTGCGTGGAGGAACGCATTGTTATTCTGCAAGAGTGTTTAGAAAACACATGTATGTTGCCCGGCAGCGCCGATAACGACGCGGCCACGCAAATTGGCGCCTTGGAGCAGCAGTTGTCGGAGCTGGGCATGGCCGAGACAACCCTCATGCAGCTTGAGGCGCGCCTCCAGGAGCGGTTTAGGCTCTGCGCTGAGCAGTACCGCACCTCCGAGGCGGAGTTCCGTGCGTCCGTGCGGCGCCTGGAGGTTTATGCCGAAGTACTGATAAATATTGATCGCGGCGTCTCCGCTGAGATGCAGGGGGAGGAGCTGGGCGAACCTTCGCCCAAGGGCACCGCGGCGATCTGCCACCCACCGCGCCCTCCATGTACACCCAAACCGACGTGGAGGTAGAAAAAAAAAAGGAACGCACGCGCATCTAACAAATCCCTCTCCAATTCCTTTTGGGTCTGTTGCTGCTTTTATTTCCTCTTTGCACCTCCTCCTGTGTGTATGTGTGCCTCTTTTTTTTGTTTTTGTTTTGTTTTTTTTTTTTGGCAGCGCCACCACCCAGAGGACGGGTCTCTTCATGCAAAGTTTCCGGAAGCAACGAGAACTTCAGCAGCCCAATGCCGCTGCCGAGAACAGCGTTCCGGGCGTCCCCATGGCGGAGCTGCCTGCTGCTGTCTCGCAGAACACACTGCCTCCGTTGAGGCCCTCCCGGTCAGCATCGGCCTTTGCGGCGGGCAGCACCTCCACCGCAGATAGTGCCGCAACCGTGACACCCGTAGGGGACCAATTGACCTTGTTGCGCAGAAAAAGCTCCGCCGCGCAGGCGAAAAGTGGCTTTGTAATTGCTTTCGAAAGGGTGTCCTTTGAAGGAAGGCCTTCTCTATTTCGTCGCCCGCGATCTCTATTGCGAGACGTCTCTGGATACCTCCTTCCTGGCAGTGTTACGGTTGTGTTGTGCGCTAACGCAAAGTGTTCCCGCAAACTGCTTGAAGTGTTAGTGGGCGTTGAGGAACGGGCGTCTGGCTCAGCGATGGCGAATGGGCTTCCCTTGGTGTCGACTGCGTTTCGCAGGCGCGTTGCCTTCATCACCTCCACGGAGGTGTGCTTGAGAGACGTCACGGTGCGTAGCAGTCTTCTCTTCTCCGTGCGTATGCGGGTGGAAACTCTGGAGGAGGATCGCATTGTGAAGGAAGTCGCGCAGGCTGTGCATCTGGAGCACTTGCTTGACGTGAAGGCCGAGAAACTGAGCCCCGCGCAGCTGTATCAGCTCACGCTGGGCATGGAGCTCGTGCGGAACCCGAGGCTCTTGGCCTTGCACATGCCCATGCGGAAGATCCCTACTGCGGAGGTGCACGGCTTTGCCGCCGTGCTGCAGGGCTTGGCTGGGGATAGTGGGCGGGTGATTGTCGTGTCTGCGACGGAGCTGTGCCGTGCGCTCTTTGAAGTTGCGGAGAACGTCTTGCTTCTCAGCTCGCAGGGTCACCTGCTCTACTCGGGCGCAAAGGCTGGGGTGGAGGAGTTTCTGCGAGAGCAGCCGTATATCCAGCGCACGGGCGATGAAACTCTTGGGGAGCTGCTAGTGACCCTCGACGAGAAAGCGGACGCGGCACGCGTGGCGGACGCATTCGCAGCCAGCGCCACCTGCCGCCGCATCCAACACCACGTCAAGGAGCATCGGAAAAGTATCGCGTCCAACGCTTTTGACCCTGTCCCACGCGTCGCTGCGCCGGCGCCGAGTTATTTTCTCAAGTGGTACCTGCTCACAGCGCACACCTGCCGCCGCGCCACGATTGGGCACCGGAGTTTTCTCCTTTCTTGGGCCATTCTCTTCTTATTGTTCTTCCTCCTCGCCTCCCTGATGGCGGGATCCGGCAGCGACCAAAATGCGATGCAGAACAAAAGAGGGGTTGTCTTTTTTCTTGTCTCCTGTTCGATGCAGGTGAACACGATCCTAGTCGACGCGGAGGTGCGAGAGTTTTATTCGGCCGTGCACCTTCGCAACAACAATTATTTCGACACCCTACAGTACTTCACGGCAACGGTGCTTCGTCTCGTTCTTACCCGGGCTGCCTTTGTGCTAATCGCAGCCGGCTGCACGGCCTTCATACTGGCCTCCTGCTTTTCATTGGCCCTGACAATGGGCCTAACTAGCCTCGCGCATGCCTCCCTAACGTTACTGCTTGTGTATTGGCACCCCGTTGAGCAGGATCTGTGGCTCATTCAGAACATCTACTACGTCTACTGTATCATACTGAGCGGCTTTCTCATTTGCCTTCCGACGGTGCCGAAGATTTTTCCAGCCCTCTCTTTGCTGCGGTACGCCTACGGCGGCGTGGTGGCGTCGGAGCTGCGCGGCAACCCGTATTCGTGTGACACCGAAGGGCGGCATTCGTATTGCTACACGGGGGACCAGTACTTGGCGATGGAGGGATTTTCCCATGACAGCTGGGGGAAGTCGTCGCTGATTCTCTTCATCGTCACTCTGGTGCTGCTTGCGCTCGTCGCTGTGAGTATGAATATCGTCTGGGTGCCACGCAGGCGCTGGAGCAGATGAGTGGGCAAAGGGGAAAACAAAACAAAAAACGCAACTATGCACATGAAGCAAAGTTAGTGAAATTACACCTCCACGGCACACATTTGCGTCTATTGCGTCGTGGGTGTCTTGGGTCGCTGTCTGTCTCTATTTCTTTCTTCCTTTCTTTCTTGCGCTCTTTCTTGCTCTTAGTTTATGTTCCACCTCGCATACTCTTTACCTCCACCTTTATTTTTGTTTTATTTTGCTTTTCTTTTCTTGTTGCTGCTACTCTCTCCCTCGCGCCTTGCCTGTCTTTGTGTGTGTCACGGTGAGTTAGTTGCATACAGGGGGCGAGGAAGGGCACTATGGGCGATCACGAGCTGTCGGAGTCGGAGAAGGCGATTGAGCGCTACAAGGTGAAGAAGCTCATCCAGATGCTTGAGTCCGCGCGAGGCATGGGCACCAGCGTGATCAGCATCTACATGACGCCGAAGGAGCAGATCTCAGGCATGGTGACAAAGCTAAATAACGAGTACGGCACCGCGTCGAACATTAAGTCTCACACCAACAAACTCAGTGTTCAAAGCGCCATCACCGCCTCGCTTGGGCGCCTGAAGCAATACAACCGCCTCCCACGCAATGGACTTCTGCTCTACTGCGGCACCGTTCTCACCGCCGATAACAAGGAAAAGAAGCTTACACTGGACATTGAGCCCTTTAAGCCTGTTAGCCGCAGCTTGTACCTTTGTGACAACAAGTTTCACACCGAGGAGTTGCACCGCATGTTGGAATCCGACGAGAAATTCGGCTTTATCGTAGTGGACGGTAGTGGTACGACGTATGCGACTCTCTGCGGGAGCGTCAAGGACAAACTCGGCTCCTTCACTGTAGAGCTGCCCAAGAAGCACGGTCGCGGTGGTCAGAGTAAGAACCGTTTTGCTCGTATTCGTATGGAGCGCCGTCACAACTACCTGCGCAAGGTGGCGGAGGGAGCGACGCAGTACTTTATCACTAACGACCGCCCGAACGTCGTGGGACTTGTCTTGGCGGGCTCTGCCGAGTTCAAGGAGGTGTTGTACCAGTCCGACCTCTTCGATCCGCGTCTCAAGGCGGTGGTGCTGAAGGTGGTGGACGTGGCCCACCCCGGGGACGTTGGCTTAAACCAGGCCATAGACCTCGCCGCCGACGCCCTCACGGGTGTGAAGCTTGTGCAGGAGAAGAAACTGCTGCAGAGCTTCTTTGACCAAATCGCCTGCGACACGCAACTCTACTGCTTCGGCGTGAACGATACCATGAAGTGTCTAGAGGCGGGCGCGGTGGAGACGCTCATTGTGTACGAGGATCTGGACATGAACCGGTACACCATCTTCAAGAACCGTGGGACGCCCGAGGAGGAGGTCACCATCCGCATCTTGACGGAGGCCTGCGCGGCGAAGGAAAACGTCCACGCACACGAGTCGGGAAAGACGCAGAACGAGATTGAGGAGGAGAACTTCGTGGACTGGCTCGCGACAAACTACCAGAAATTCGGCTGCACCCTGGAACTCGTCACAAACCGTAGCCAGGAGGGAACGCAGTTTGTTCGCGGCTTCGGCGGCATCGGTGGCATTCTTCGCTACAAGCTCGACCTCATGGCACTGCGGGAAGTGGAGAAGAAGGAAGGCGACGACGAACGCATCGCCGCCAACAACGAGGACTACGACTTTGATGACGACTTTATGTAAGCCGCCGCCACGTGGGACGCGGCTACGGCGAAGTCAATTTGGATGCGAAGCGACACCAACAACAACAACAACAACAAAAAGAAAAGCCGTGAGATGTGGCAGCAACGAACGAAGATGAAGCAGGCAGAGGAGGGGTGGGCGAAATGGCAGAGGGGCGAGAATAACAAAAAAAACAAGAAAAGACGCCGTGCAGTTTGCTCGCATGAACCACGCCCTCGCGCGTGTCGCCACGGTGGGTTTTGGTTGCTTCGCTCACACACTGGTGTCCCCACTCCGTGCGCGTGCACGCCCCTCCTGGCGTGTGGTCGGCACGACGGCGGGGCACGTGGGGCGGCAGCCACCAGCGCTTAACTTCGCTGCAAGCACAGCGAGCAGAGACCTTTAAGACACGGGAGTAAGACAAGAACATACTTTCAAATGTGCAGAGGTATGAAATAATAATAACAAGAAGAAGAAAGAAAAAAAATGAACAGACAAAACAAGGAGAAAGTGATGGAACGGAAGGAAAGAAAACTTTGGGGCGTAAGGCTAGGAAGAAAGGTGGCGTGCATGGACTGCAAGAAAGCGAGACAGAGCGAGAGAAGAAAAAGAAAAGGGATAAAAAGAGTGGACCGGTGTTTTCGTGTATCCATATTCATTACTCATGTTGCCGCGTCGCGCCTCTTGGCACTCCTCGCAGGCTGTGGTAGTTAAATTTTTTTTAAGGGCTCATTTTGTTCTGCTCCGTGTCTTGGGTTTTTTTTTGGCTATAGCTGATCAAAAATAGGTTCCAACAGAGGAACTCACTGGCGAAGGGGCCTTCACAAGTACAAAAGCGATGCCGCCCTCGTGGGGCACCGCTGCTGATGTGCGCTGCATGGCGTGAGGTAAAGCGTTTCGCACTTTAAGGCGACTCCAAGACGACATGAATGAAGGCCGTGCGCCACGTGCTGTTCGCCGTGTTTGCCCTCACGCTATGTTGCGCGGCTGCGTGCATGGCAGCTTTCGAGGCGACAGCGAAGGTAAGGGGAGGGCTCGTGTTGTAGGGCTTCGCCGAGTGTTTCTTGACAGGAGGGGAAGAATCTACCGTCGGTGCAACGCAGCGGTCCATGGTGCAGGACTTTTTCTTCTGCAGTTGGCGGAGAAGGCGAAACACTCTTCAATGTCACAGCTCGGGTGAGTTCATTCCCCTGTCGAAGGTTTGGACGTGAGACCCGGCAAGGCTGGAGACGCAACCGATCCTGTGGGCAGCGGAGGTGGGGCGGAGGCACCTCCTGGCGGCGGAGTGATGCCCACCGCCCAACGGGGTACTCTGTCGAACGCCAGCGCCAATGCGCTGCCAGCTAAGGGCGTCNTTGCTGGCGCTTCGCTTGGCAGGCAACNGCGGC